AAGAATTGATGCTTTTGAACTGTGGTGTTGGAGAAGACTCTTGAGAGTCCCTTGGACTGCAAGAAGCTCAAACCAGTAAATACTAAAGGAAATCAGTCCTGAATGTTCATTGGAAGGACTGATGTTGAAGCTGCAACTCCAATTCTTTGGCCACCTGATGTGAAGAGTTCACTCATTTGAAAAGATCTTGATGCTGGGAAAGATTGAAGGCGAGAGGAGAAGGGGACGACAGAGGATGAGATGGTTGGAGGGCATCACCGACTCAATGGGCAGGAGTTTGAGTAAACTCTGGGAGTTGGTGATGGACAGGGAGGCCTGGCATGCTGCAGTCCATGGGGTCACAAAGAGTCGGACATGACTGAGCGACTGAAGTTTTCAAAAATATATATCTAGGAATGGAGTTGCTGATCATAGAACATGGATGTTTGCATGGAGACAATAACTGTATGTTTAAGGTTATGAGAAAATGCCAAAAAGTTTTGACAAAGGAGATGATTCATTTCACATTCCCACCAGCAAAATATGACACTTCCAGTTCTTCTGTATCCACAGTAGAATTTGGTGTTGTCACTCATTTTGATTTCAGCTATTCTGGCCAAATATGCTTAGGTTGCTGCTGTTGTGGTTCATGAACTTATTTGTCATCCATTTATTTTCTTTGGTAAAATACCTATGTAAAGCTCTTGCCAAGAACTGGGTTAGTATTTTTGCTGAAATATAATTCACACACATAAGATTCATCCTTTTGAAGTATACAGTTCTATGGTGTTTGGTATGTTCTACAGAATGATACTAGGATCGCTATCTAATTTCAGAACATTTTCATCACCCAAAAAGAAAGTCCATATCCTTAGCAGTCACTCTTCTTTTTCCCTACCCATCAGCTTTTGACACAGGAATCTGTCCAGTTTGTATGTATTTGTGTTCTCTGGATAGTTCACATAAAGGGAACCATACAATGTGGCCTTTTGGGAGTGCTTTTTTCACTTCTGTTTCCAAAGTTTATCCATGTTGTACCATGTGTCCACAGTTCATTCCTTTTAATGTCTGAATAATATTACACTGTATGGATATACCACATTTATACCAGCTGATGAATATTTGGGTTGTTTTAACAGGATACTATGAGTAACGCTTCTATGAACATTAGTACATAGGTATATTTATGTGGACTTGGGCTTTCAATTTTCTTGGGTACTTATGACTAGGAGTGGGACAGTTAGGTCTACATTTAACCTTTTGAGGAACTGATAAACTAAAGCTACACCAGTGTATGAGGGCCCCAAATTTTCAACCACCTCAACACCACTTGTTATAGTCTATCATTTTTATTTTATCCATCCTAGTGGGTGTGAAGAGGTATCTCATTGGAGTTTTGATTTGCGTTTTTTAAATATCTTTTTCATGTGCATTTTAGTTAATTCACATACATTCTTGGAGAAATGTCTATTCAAAACACTTGCCCAAAATTGAGTTGTCTTTTTATCGTTCAGTTGTAAGAGTTAAGCATATTCTCAGAATGTAAATCCCTTAGCAAAAACATGATTTATAAATATTTTCTCCTTTTCCTATGTCATCTTTTCGCTTTCTTCATGGTATGCTTTGAAACATAAAAGTTCTTAACTTTGATGAAGTGTAATTTATATTTTCTTTAGTTGCTTATACTTTTGTTGTCATACCAAAACAAACACTACCCAGTCCAAATATACAAAGATTTATAGCTATGTTTTCTGCAAAGAGTTTTATATTTTTAGCGCTAACATTTAGATCTCTGACTAATTTTGAATTAATTTTTATAAATCATGTGAGGTAGGGGTTCAACTTCACTTCTTTTGAATGCTGAATATTCACACTTGTTCCAGCATCACTTATTGAAAAGTTATTCTTTCCCAACCCAGAGTATTATCCTGGCACCCCTGCTGAAAATCAAATGACCATAAAAATGAAAGAAATTATTTATGGATCTTATTCTCAAATTTTAAAAGTTCTTTATATATTCTGGATATAAACCTTTTATTAGATATGATTTTCAAGTATTTTCTTACCCTGTTCTGACTTGTCTTTTTGCTCTTACAGATCTTTTAACAAGCAGAATTTTTTTTTAATAAATTCCACTTCATGAATTTGTTTTGTACATTCTTATTATAGAAATTCAACCTAAAAATGTTTTAATTTTTATATTTTACTCTTACAAAAAATATAATGGGACTTCCCTGGAGGCTCAGTGGAAAGAATCTGCCTGCCAATGCAGGAGACACAGGTTCGATCCCTGATCTGGGAAGATCACACATACCACAGAGCAATTAAGCCCCACGTGTCACAACTACTGATCACGCGCTCTGGAGCCCACGTGGCACAAGCCTGCACGTGCTAGAGCCCGTGCTCCACAGGAAGGGCCGCCACTGCGATGGAAACCCACGCACCGCAACTGGAGAGCAGCCCCCGCTTCGCGCAACTAGAGAAAAGCCGATGCAGCAACAAAGACCCACCGCAGCCAGAAATAAATAACTTAAAGAAACATAAGTATTTCTTTATGATTCATAGTATTTATATGATATGATATAGCTAACTTTATTGTAAGGTAGAAAATATGATTTTTTAAACAGAATAATGAAATGAAACAAAGGAAAGGAAATGAAACAAAATCTCTGAAGTTTAACTGACATTTACTACAACCTTACAAATATGCATTTCGATTCCTTTTGTTTGTTTCTTTAACCAGCGTCCTCAAAACAGTATCAGCAATGAGTA